CTTCAGGCCCCATACCAAATCGAAGCCAATCACTCTATTTTCAAAAGCAACCCTACATATATTAAAACAGCGCTAAAATACGCAAATGGGAAAAGTTTAAATGGAGCCAAGGCTCTAAACAATTAAATTAGGGCTTACCTCTAAAATTTCACTAGAAGAGGTTGTTTTGATGCCTAAATATCCTCGAATTGATCATCTCGACATCAAGATGCGTGGACTTCAGAAAAAATTGATTTCAAGTTTTGAAAATATTGTATTTTGTAACATATTTTTGGACTGTCGATTTTCAATATTTTTCAGTTTTCATAGATCTGTTGAGCGACACTATTTTTTAAGCTTTAAATTTTATAAATAAAAATGAAAATATATTTTAAAGCTATCACAAAAATTTTCCGGTATTAAAACCATGTTCTCGACAGTATTTGAAGGTAGGCTCTAATTTGACAGTTTAGAGCCTAGGCTCTATACAAACCGTACCCTATGTAAATTTCAAAAGATATAATTTCAAAGGGAAAAGTTTGTATAGAGCCTTAAGCTCTAAACAATCAAATTAGAGCCTATCTCTAAAATTTCACTAGAATAAGTTGTTTTAATGCTCAAAATACCCTCAAATTGATCATCTTGACATCAAGATTCATAGACTTAAGAAAAAAATAGATTTCAAGTTTTGGAAATAGTGCATCTTATAACGCATTTTTGGACTGTCAATATTTAAGTTATTCAACTTTTCATAGATGTGCTCGATCGACACTATTTTTTAAGGTTTAAATTTTATAATTAAAGATGAAAATATATTTTAAGGCTAATCAAAGATTTCCAGTAATGAAACCACATTTCTCAACACTATTTGAAGGTGGGTTCTAACTTGATTGTATAGAGCCGCCCCCAATTTCAAAAGAAATAAGGTGTCACCTCATATTAGTAAGGTACACCTAAAAAACCACTTGAAAAGATTGTTCTTAGGCCGGAAAACCATCAAATTGATCATCTCGACCCTATCTTTTAAGATAATGTAGGATAAATGTCCTTAAAAGTTGAGGGATCTTAAGGGGTATAAGGTATATTTTAGAGCATCTCTTTAGCTCTCCAAGTAGAAAGGCTGAATAATATAGAAGTTAAGCTCGAAATTTAAACTGATCTCTTCCTCTCTATCGACGCACTAATTTTAGAAAGTGTGAATTTTAGGAAGGCCAATGTAAATAAATAAATAAAAACGATCCTTGAGATATTATAGAAATTCAAACTTCTCTCGTAGCAATCAAAACTATATGAAATAAAAAGGCTAAATAATAAAGAAGTTAACCTCAAAATTTATAATGATCTCTCCCTCACACACCATGGAAGGGTAAGTTTTAAAAAGGCTAAATAAAAACAAAGATCCTCAAAATAGATCCTTGGGATATTATATTATAGAAATTCAAATTATCTAGTAGGAAACAAAACTATACGAAGGACGAGAGAGAGTATTTATTTATTAGTGTGATGATTTATTAGTGTGATGTAGTTATTTATTAATATGTATTTATATGTGCATGTATAAGATAAGGATAGAATAATAAGCATTTATAGTGCACATATCCCTCATTAAAGTTGTTAGTAAACACAAATATTATCTTTCTTTTCTCTCCGTCATCCATGCTGTCTCCAAAATTCTCTCTAATATCTTCCGGGAAAGGTTTCTATCCTCCCCCTACCATACAGGCATTCAATTTTGATTAAGAGAGTCACTCATCGTTTGATTTTAGATCCGACGTCTCAAAATTATTTTATTTTTAGTTTTTTATATACAAATTGTATGAATACATGCTATCTTCTCATTGGGGTGCACCTATAAAAAATATTAAAAATAATTTTTCAATATAATATAATGATCAAAATACCCTTGAAACTTTTAGGGGTATTTTGGTTATTTTATTTTATTGAAAATACTTTTTTTTATATATTTTTTGCTAGTGTAAGTTTAATAGAGGAATGGATGTCGAAAATTTGGTGTCAAAATAGTTTATAGAAAAAAAAAATTTAAATAAAATAATATAAAGACATGATATTGTGATTGGGGCAATCTTAGCCCTCCATTCAAAATGGACAGTTGGATAAGGGGGAGGATATAACTTCTATACTATAGGGAAAGCATAAAAAGCTTGCCCATATCTTCCCATATTTACCTTTCTAATAACTGAGAGACCCAATTAAAGTATCTTTTAATGTGCATGAATGCCCCACTAGGAAAAAAAAACACTTCAAGGTTTTATAACACCACTGCTCTCTCTATTGTCACGGTATTGGTCAATAAGACTTGCCTCTTTCACATGAACATTTTAGTTGTTAATTGGATGTATTTTCTAACATATTTTTTCCCCTCTTTTTATCTTACTTTTGTAGTCTCCATGCAACTTCAAGCAACTTGATGCAAGAATCCAAAGATTTGTTTTTTCTATAATTTTTTAGAACCATTTTTGTGAGTTTATCTGATGTAGCACTTACTGATATTGTTATTTCGTGTACCTTTTTGTGGTTAATTATAAGAGAACTAAAACGTGTTAGGATCTAAAATGGGTTTTTTTTTATATGTTTATTTGATGTAGCACTTACTAAAACGTGTTATGATTGGTTTTTGTCTCTCTATTTACAAGTCAAACTCATCACTACAAATCTTTTATCACTTCTTTCATTGAACTTGCAATGGTTTAGAGGATTTTGTCATAAACTTTAACGCCTGAGTTAATTAAATAAAAATAATCATTGTGTCAATTTTTTTTATTTTCATATTTTTGTATTTAGAAAATTTTATGATTTTTCATTAGTTCGTCAGGGCTTTTAATCATGTGCAAAACACATGCTTTTTACTAGTGTACCTATAATAGTAAAGACATGATAAACCAACGAAATACGAATCATAGAACTAACCCTTCAAATAATCGCACCACATTTAGAAGCAATTTCATCTTGAAATTGCACACCCTTGTCATGGTCCTCTGTACTTCCAGTAATTACTGGATCTTTACAATCCTTGCATTCCCCGGTTCTCGCAAGGGGATTGTCTGGTAATTTCCACTCCTCAAACTCTGTTGTTCTTGACATCATGATATAGTTATGCTAAATTCTTGTAACATTGATTATTTTGATATGTGTGCTCAACAGATGCTGAAATCGGATCTTGAGATTTGGAAAATGCACTTTTGATAACTCAAAAGTTCGTTCGACAACATTCCGCAATGATAAATGCCAACTATTGGATGCCTCGTGTGTTTTACTGAGCTTGTGCCCGGTGCAAATTCATTCAAGTGATACCGAATTCCACGATAGGGGGCAATGAACCTACGAACAACAAGGTGCTATGAACTGATAACAATCAAATAGTGTTACCTTCAAGTATTATGAATTGATTACCATCCCTATTAACTTCATTTAATTAAGACTTCTAAGTCTGGGCAATTTTTTCCCATCTATTGAGTACATATTTAAACGCCAAATCAAACCCCGTAGCAGCCAATCACATTTCTTATTCGTCCATTGTTATGAAATTGTTTGACCCAAGATGAGATGTGTCTCATTAATGATTTAAAAAATGGATCAGTGACTAGGTTCAAGCATTACGAAAATCGGTATGGATCGGTGAATTGGCGGTCTGCACAACAGTTTTACTATGCAGAAAAAATAATGAATTGGCAAAAAAAAATTGCAAATACGGTGAACGGGTCAAAAATCGGTCCAGATCGCTGAATTAGCGTTTTTACTGTAGCAAAACGGTTTTTTTCTGTAGCAAATTGCCGGTTCTCTTCAGGCCTAAACGATTTCCTATATATTGACAGAATCGCCTCAGGGTGATCGATTTCATAGGTCGAACCAAGCGATTCCATGTTGACCTAGTTATTGATCTCATTAGATGCCTGACACAGTCCTCGAATTGTAATGTAGAATTAGCTGCCATAAACCAATAAACCTCTCTTAGTTTCCCCAAGAATTCAGATATGTTTTTATTAGTTTCCCCAAGAATTCATTGGCAACTCCTGGCTTCCAAGGATCCAACTCATTCCCACTCATGAAAATAATGCCAATGAGTTGGAATTAGGGCTAGCAATAGGCAGGGTCTAGGCTGGGCCAGCCCTAGCACAGCCATGGTCCGTATGGGACAAGCTTGAGCCCAATCCAGCCCTCCGGCCGGGTCCTATGCCACATCTAGCCGAGGCCCCCTTTTTAATGGCACAGCATTATTGCAAGTTTTCTCAGCTTCAAAATTGAGCGCTTACGCACGTGCCGTTAGAAGGATATGTGACAAGCGCACATCATAAGAAATTGTCTAGGGGTGGCAATTAATGTCCGGATCCGGGTCCAAGTGTTGGAGGTCCAAATGACTTGGATTGGACCCGAGTCATATCCGGGTATGGGTATGGTTATGGGTATGGCTTCGATACCATCAACCAACCCGAACATGTATATGTAAGTTTGATATATATTATTATAAATTTTTATTTTTATTTGCTAGACTCAACCCAATACTGGTCCAAATGATTTAGACTGGCCTTGGGTCATTGTTAGTTTTGGATCCAAGTTAGAACGAGTTAGGTCACGTCCCGACCAATGGTCACCCCTGTAATTGTCCATCAACATTGGGGTGGCAATGGGTTAGGTTGGGTCCTGTTTGACCTTGATCTAGATCCAATCTAAGTTGCCCAAGCATTGGAATCCGACGCCGATCTAGGTTAGGTCCAAGTAATTCGAAACTAAACCCAAGTTTTTAAACTTCAAAATAAAAATTTTATTTTTATACTATATTTTGTACCACGTCGGGTCAGGTCGGTCAATTCTAACCCGAACCATACCCGACCTGATAGGGCCCAAGCTGGACTGGACCCTAGATTGGTCCAAGTCATTTCGACCCCATATTGGTCCAAGTCATTTGGACCCCGAAATCACGTGGACCCCTTAGCTAGACAAGTTACGGTGGCGAGTCGATCCGGCCCGATCGCCAGCCCTACATCAACAAGATTTTTCGTCTCCCTCGGTGTTTACGGATAGGTTTTGGTTTTCTTGTCCGAAACAAGGACTCAAAACGCGAGTCCACAAGACGCAGAATAGGAAACCATGGATCTTGTAGAACTAAGTGTTCATAGTACAATCTCTCCTTCTACTTTCTCTCTCTAGGGTTTAAACTTAGTATCTCTCTCTAGAGTTGAAGAAGCAGATACAGGGGTCTGGTGCATCTTGGTTTGGGAGGATGAGGTTTGTGTGAGCTTTAAACATGCTTTCTTCTCGGTCGAGCTGCTGGATTCTCCCTTTCAATCTCTCCAGAAGAAGGAATTCTCCTGGATTCTCTCTTTCTCTCTCCACTACCTCATACCCTTTCAACCCAGCAAGAAGAAGGAAGCCCCATTTGCTCCCTCTCTCTCTCTCTACCCCTTGTAGAGCGGCCAAGCAGCAGAGTGGCTCCCGGAAAAGGAGCAGAAATGGGTATGGCAAGAAAAGCTCTGGAAACTCTCCTCCCACAGTGGTGGATAATGACGAAAATGCCCCTGGACGTTCTCCCTCCCCTCCTATGAGCTTGCCCAACCATCCAATGCCCAAGCCCCCGGCTGGTTTCGTACTCGACGGTGATGGAAAGGTCGTCTTGGCGTCTTCGAGGCGGCTCGCCACCATTGTCTGTTCCTCTCCCTCTACAAACCTACACTCATATACATGCTTGGATAACAGACATATATTCATAAAGTTCATAGATACACATGCTTGCATGTACATACACATACACACAGAAACACATCCATACATAGACGAATGTGATTTGGCTTATAATGGTGAATTATGTAACCGTGGATTGCATGGAGATGTATGGTAATATTGGGGAATATGGGAATGCTTGGTAATTAATCTTTAGAGAATTTTTTTTTGTGCTGAAATGTGATTAGATTAGTGATTGGATGGTGAGTTATGTAATGGATGAGTGACTACAGAATCGAATACATGAATGTTTGAAGTTTTGTACTGCTAATCTTTGTCTTGTATATGTGATATTGGGGCTCGATTTTATCCTGACTGATCCTTGAAACACATACCCACAAATGGAATGAAAGAGATTGATGGTGTTGGTTCTTTGAAGTGGTTTGCGATGTTGTTTATGATTTTCATTGATTTACAACTGTTTAGGTGTGAAATTGTTTGCTTTTGGTCACTTTATGAATGAGAGTACAATCATGCCCATTGTTGTGCTTGAGAATAAAATAATGCTTATAATAAAACCGTTTTCCCTAGTGAGTTTGAGATTTTTCGATTTTGATAATCCAAAACATTATTATTTTGTAATTGACGTATAGTAGTAAACAAAACAAAATAATTTACATAATGATGTCTGAGCTTTCTATGTGTCTTCAGGGACATAAAATCTTTCTGTAGACATTCAGTAATCTGATCAATATTGAACAGGTAGGGCGTGAGCTGACAACAATGTCACAAATTAGTTATGGCATGACAAAAAGAGTTGGTGCTTGCTTGTGATATTGTTCTTCATTCCTTCAAGTTGTACGACCAAGATTAGATGATTGTGGGTCTCCTGACACATATAAATTCTATGTGTGTAGGGACACATAGGAAGATTTTCCTATAATGATGGGATATTGGCTTAAAATCTTATTTCCCTAAGCCTTCACTATCTTAGCTTTATTGTTTACCACCAAGTTCACCTTCCCATCTACATGGGCTGCACTTATGGTATTAGATATCATGTATGCACAAAAAAATTCTGAAAACTATAATGAAGTGGAATTGCATCGCCTTTATGAGCTATCTTATGAAGTTCTTGAGAAAGCTCCAATAACAAATTGAAACAGACAATAGCAGGCAAGCACTAAGATTTATTGCCTCTAATCTAATCACGAGCTTCCATTATCAATTATCAACATTAACAACGACTATATCTTTAAGATAACTTCCATTTATCTGATGCTCTTCCAAAATTTAGTCAACAGATCCAACTTACTCTCTTTTCCTGTTTTGCTTGCACGATATTCCTCCAACCTTGTGAGGAATAAGAGCAGTTTTAATATTCTGCCTGGGAGATATATAAAATGCTTATACGATATTATAGGGAATCAACTTTGAGAAATCCTTGTGAAAATTGGGAGTAATAATATCAGCCACCCAGCTATTGCCAAGACCAATAAATGATTTGTGTTTGCACACCATTTATCATCTGTCTACACTCTGTTTTTACTTTCATCTGTCTAAACTCTGTTTCTACCATCTTCTTTCCCCAAGAAAAATTTCTTAATCACCTTTGAATAATGGCATGAACACTGACTGGAATAAGTCAATGGGAAGCAATATGTATTGATATGCTTAAAGAACAGAGTAATTGAACTGAATGTCCCTGTTGATTTGGTAATACAATACAAACAAGTTCATGTCCTAGCCACGGCTTTCTTAGAATTGAGAGATAATTGATCCTCATTTGCAGTGAATAGAGGGATAAATCCCTATGCAAATTTTGCTTGATATAATGACTAGAATATCCCTATGCGTAACTCAATATATGTAAGAGATGTACAATTTAAATACCCTCGAACCAATACTCATCCTCTCAAATTGGGACATCCATTGAAATATGTAAGTAATCATTCTTAAATACTTAAATATAGTAACTAACTTTGTGAACAAAATGTGCAAAGTGCTTTTCGAATAGAATGACAATTTAAGTGTGTTTTGTCCTATCAGGGCAAACTACATTAGATGCAATCTTGACTGCATTGATATGACCTCCAGAGGAACTCAGCAGGTGCTGAACCATGGTTTCATCTTCAGCCTTATCTTTAGATCTGGATGCCTGTCCCAGGACACAAGAGATTCTCCTGGAAATATGGAGTATTGTATTGTCAATCTGTGTGTCAGGGAAAATTGACTGTGTTTGAGTTAGCAAGTGGTGCGAACTGCTGATCTGATTCCCTGGAGTGGTTCAATCATATATAATGATTGAATGGCTTGATGATTTAGTAGACTGTTGCCAAATGCAAACTTATAGGTGAGTAAAGAACTGACTATTCTGAGGTGGCAATCATGTGATATGCCTCCGATGGTGATAATCAAATACTAAAAGCCTCCAATCAGCTGTATTCAAGGGTCTCATGCCTTTAGCCATCAGCCTTTTTGGTGACATATAGGATATATGATGTAGGTCTAATACCCATAGCCATTAGTCTTGTTGGTGACACCCAGGATGTTATCTTGAACTTGGTCCTCCCATCAAGTGGTTTTGCAAGAAGTGCTTTGCCCTTGTGAGGGCTGTTGTTCCTTTTTTGGTAATTATGCTCTGACACCATGTTAGAAATCGTTATCGTAACTTTGGAAATAGGGATAATTACAGAGCTGACATGAACATTTGTCTTAAATACCTTACTGCAATACACTTAGCAGGCATTGCCTTCTATAATCTAACCAGATTTCCTTCAAGACCAAGCTGTACTCCTAGATTCTCTAGAAGAAGCGCAAAGACCATCCAACAATGTTTATTCCATTGCATATCATTGGCTTTTTCGCATGTAAATGTTATACGTTAGTGCATATCTTAAGGAATCCTTTTATATAATGATCTGGCAATAACTACCTTGAATTATAGGGTAATAGTATAATAATGGAGAATTTATACTTGTGGCACTTGGCCTTGATGATGTCCTCAGATTCTGTGCTCGAACCCCAATACAGTGAGGATCATTCAGGGATAATTGAGAAACCATTTTTTTTTTTTTGAAGAATAATGCAGAAATCATGTGAAGAAGAATTTTAGTTTTGCTACTTGAAATTTGAATTTTGTTATCTGAAAGATAGTCCTGCAGAATTGATAATTTTTGTTGAATTTTTCCGTTTTTACAAAAAATGTTTTTCTGCTAAGTGTAGTTCTGCCTTGCAGTTATATTTTATTATGAAATGTCAAAATCGTTATCAATTTGAGACCTTCTATTTGATCATGATACTTTTGGTTCCTATTCATGATTTAAATTTTGAATCTTATTTGGTACCGTAGCTAGCAAATTATGTTTCGTTTTTCGTATGGGGATTATGATTTTATCCCAGGTATTTCTATCGTTTGAGGATGATTAGGCATGCTGGACAGGTTGATTCTGCAAATGGCCAACCTTTAGAATGTGTGATCCGAAGAGTGTTCAAGAGTTCTCAAGGGGACGAGTGTATGCTACTCTGTCCAGTTGATACGTAAGTGAATACTTGCCCTAAATCATAGAAACACTTTAGAGGATGATGGCAGCATTCCTTGACAAAGTACATTATACATGTAGGCCTGTTCAGATATTGAAGAGTGCAAATCCTGATGGATGGGCAGCTGTAAGTGTGTCATATTATTTCAATTTGTTTGCTTTTTACTTTTGAATTGGGAGAGAAAGCATCATATATATATATTTTTAATATGAATGAGTAAAGAATCGTATAACAAAACTAAAAGATCTGTTCTTTTCCATCACCCTGCTGCAGTAGTTAGCATCTTATTGATGTTTTTTATCACAAGTTGATCCTTCTAGAATTCGTTCTTTGGAAGATATACACGCACACAGCCACATAAATAGTTTCATGAGAATATTCATGAAAGGTTAGGGTTTATTTCTGCCTCCGTTTGTGCATCCATCTAAACTATTCTTCTTGAAGATGGACTGAGGATCCAAAAGTACATAGCTCCATTGTTTTAACTGCCTTGATAATGAAATTGAAAAGAAAAAAAGTGAATTTTGAGCTCTCGAGATGCTTGAGATGAAGTTGTTAATTCCTGCCAAATATTATTTTATATGGCAGCACTTACTTTACATCCAGTTTGGGGAAGTCCTACATCGAAAAAACAAGTTATTTCCCATTCAATCATTTCTAAAATTGACAGAGTTTCCCTTTGTACTTAGACATGTACGTAGGTAAATTATCGAAACAAAGTTACCTCGGGTAAAATACTAATTGCATGCTGATCTATGTTACTTAGCTGTGGATGTTAACAACTGATATGGGATGTCAGGTTCGTGTGTAAGACACCCTGCTACATTGAGTCAAACCATGATGAGAAGAAAGCATGAGACCATCCCCTTTTGCAAGGTCTCATATCTGTGATGATGGAAAAACTCCCAGAGAGCTGTGGTCCCATTATTCATTTAACCTATTGGCTGCCTCCATCCTTGAGTAATCAATTGAATTGTTATCTTTTCATGATCATGAACTTTTGTTATAATCTATCATCATCATCATCTTAGCCTTATTCCAACTATTTGGTGTCGGCTTTTCGCTATAGTCTATATTAGCCAAATAAAATATCCCTTGTTCATTTAATATAGAGATTGAATTTAGCAAGTAGTTGCCTGCTGATGCATCACTGAAACTATGTTGTTTACTCACAAAGTTAAGAACTTTAATGTATCTACACGGGACTTCAAAGTCAACTGTATACACCACCCATTCAATGACTGAAAGAGAAAGCCATCCTTTCTTGCCAATCATCAGAAGGAACCAAAGAAGAAAAAGAAAAAAAGAAGGAGAAGAATTAGAAATAAGGCAAGACATCTTTAAGGGCAATAGTTCTTAGGTTGGGAATGAAGGTAGCATTATCATCTACCAGCACTCTTGAACCATATCAAAATACATTCCCATACACTGATACACATAACACTTCCCTTTGAACCATTTCCCAAAAACTTCTTTCCAATTGGCTCCCTAACAATACCTATAGACTAACAACGTATGTTTAATTGGCTCTTGGTTATAGGCCTTCTCTTTCTGTTTACAATTATACAAATATAAAAGAAACATTATCCTGTGCAAAATGTTGCCCCTGTGTAAATAATATTCTCTAGTGTCAATGTTATCTAAGCACATATGTGTGTGTCAGACATGACATGATCATTATCAAGGACAAACAATTCTCAAAATCTTTGTCACAAGAGTTCAATATTTTTATGAGGGGTCATGTTACTTTTTTTATAATGGTGACATGTGTATATAGTTTTTTTTTTAATGAAACAAAATTTAGAATTTGAAATTGAACGAGGATATGCATAATTGCCATTCTCTGTTGTAGTTGGTTTTGCATTTAATACTTAAACACCATAAAATCATTTTGGCAGGAGTAGAGTCCCTGCTAAACTACGACTTTTCAAATTTCAATGCTACACCTGGCTTTCAAGTCATTAATCCAAGTTGGATCTTGGATTTGTGTCCATAAGGGTCACTAGGAAATTTTTACTCATTCATACCAGTACACTTTGATATGCCTTTTTTTGCTGATATGCCTTTTTTTGCAGGTGAGTGACAATGAAATTGATGCAATTCTTCCCACTGCTGCTTATGCACTTGCCAAAATACATATGCATCTGGTTCTAAGCGGGTAATTTCATCAGAGCTGGAGGACTTTTTTAATATTCATGAAACTTGTTCTAAGTGAGCATGATTTTGTTTGTGGGGAAATACTCTTATGATTGGGATTGGTACTGGAGATGATATTTTCTTGTGATTGCTTAGGTTTTCTGAAAAATTCCTTACTGTCTTGGCCTTTGTATTGCAAATGCACTTCTTTTTTTGTAAGTTGTTTTTTTTTTTTGAAGATGAGAAAGTTGTTAAATGGTATTTTTTTGTAAGTTGTTTCAAACTCAAATATCGACTAATATAGTCATTGGGAGTTATTGCCTTGCAACTTGTTGGTTTTGTCACTTGATTTTAATTATTAGTTATTCAATCAGATTCTGTTATACAGCAAGGGGAGCATTTTGTTATTCTGAAGAGGACATACTTGAATTTCGCACAGGTAATAGTTTTGTTCCATTAATGTTAATAGTTGGAAATGGCTGAATTCATTATATAAGATCCTCTTAAAAAAAATTTCTGAACTTTCAATATGATAATTCACATGCCTTTTGATGGACAACTCTTGGGATGGTTTCATTTAATTTTGGAACTTCTATATTATGATTCATGCTACTTTTGTTGAGTAGCGAATCTTGGCCATATATATCCATCCATCGAGTGAATTTTTAGTTAAAAGTGATTTGTCTTTAGTCCACTGGTGACTATTATTTACTGTCCTGAAAATTTGCAGAATTAGGTAACCATATTCTGTTGTACGATGTATTAAAAGAATCTTTTAGTTATGTGGATTTGCTTGTGACAAAATGTGATCACACTAGTCATGTTCATATTTAATTGATTGATGATGATAGACATGGCTTGAGAGTTGGGATTGTTCTTTTATTGCACTGTATTTTATTGCTTTCATGCAGTGTGCCTTCTAGTTGGTCTGTACTGATATTGTCAGGGCTGTGGCCTCAAAGAGGTTGGGTAGTTGCCATTTATATTATTGTGATTGCTGGACCTTCAATGCGGAGTTTGAGGAGAGAGTTGCCTTAGGGTTATGCGTGAGATGAGTTAATAGAGTCTTCATTGAGGGAATCACATAGAAAGTGGTACGAGCAGCTGGTGCGATCACAGTTGCCTCCTGGAACTTTTATTGGTCGTCAATTTTTCGTGCTGGAGTACCACGTCTTTTTGGGAATAGGGTTCCCATATGACTGGGTTTTACCAGCAAAATCTATCTGGCAATGTTATCTCCAAGCATTAGATAAGGGGACATGATAATTGCACTTGTAAACATGATACTGAATATTTTGAAAATGTTCTATTAGCAGCATACACTAATATATTTCCTAAAAAATTTGTCAGTTTTGTATGCAGTGGGTGCATTTTAGTTGTACAATATCAGGAATGGTATCTATGGTCAATTGATTTGGATTCCTTACTAACTTATCTCAACTTGAATATGTCTATGACCTTGTCCAAATATTCTTTTGGTTAGGTCAGCTTGGAATTCAACCTTTTCTGGGAACCCCAGTAGATTGCTAATCTCCCAGTTGTAATTTTCTGGAGAGAAAAAAAATAGAGATGGGTTCTCTTGTTAAACTTGGACCTGATTTTATTGAGTTTTAGAACAAGAATATTTCTACCTTGATATTTTATTGATTGCAAGAGAGAAAGCGAGATGGATTTTCTCTTCGGGATGCTCCAGAATATACAATTTTCAACAACATTGTTGCAATGTCCTTAATGTCCGTATGCCTTCATTAAATTATTCTGGCACGATTCTTCTCTAGATGGAGAAGACTAGTCTAAATGAATGATCACGCAATCCTGTCCTAAATTTTGATCTCATCCATTTGATTGGCTGTTGTCACAGCTTGCCTTGCCTACTGAAGTGGAATTTTAGATCTTAGTCTTGCTAACTATGTGAAGACACCTAATTTTGACTAGCTTAGAACCCAATTCCCAAAACCTAGGAACCCCCCCAACTAAAGGCATGCTAATCGTAAATTACGTTAGAACCTCATGAACATATGTACCCCCTATAACCCTTAGAAACATGAAATTTACACCTTTGGATTTCCAAACACAGCCTTCTCAGAAGTCAACTAAATTTGGTCAATCCATATTCCATCTTCTAGGAACTTCCAACAGTTCAAGAATCATATCAATTGAGCTGCTGTTGGGAAGTTATGGCCAAAGCAGTGAAGGAATTCTGAGAACTGAAAATAATGCAGGAGCCTGCCCACGACACTGCTTGTCCCATGACTGGTACTGTATGTATCATCTGCTGAACCAGTTGTGTCAGACCTGTCAAATGGGACCCATTTCATGGGGAAAAGCTTCTAGAAATTTGGGAAGCATGTCCATGCATTTTGGACATGTTTTGCAGATTAGGGACCTACTTTTGATTATCCCAAACTCTGGCCTCCTAGGATTTGGTGCCCATGGTGGGTGCCAAATTGTTTACATGCAATCTGGGCTAGAGAACCACATGGTTTCTCACATAGTTGTTGGAGATGGGAGCCGGATCAAGAGCAGGATCGGTTCGGGATTCGTCGAACCGCCCTATAGCAGAAGCTCCCTAGGGTTAGGATCTGCGTTCGTACAATGAATAAGACAGGGAATGAGATCCTTAGGTTTATGGGAGCGAGATCCCATATTAATGGGTTCGATATTTTGACTAGCAGGAATCTAAGCTCCACTATACATAAAAATGAGGTTTTCAAGTAGAGCTAGTACGAGTTCCCTTGGTTAAGGAATCGAGGTTTAAGTATGTCATATAACGGGGTTTCTCTTGTTCTAATATTGAGATTCTTAACTATGTTTGGCATGTGTTTTAAGTCCTAAATATTACTCTTGGGAATGGTTAACTATGCCAACTCCTGGTGGGGAGAAGAGGCTAAAGTTGCACCTTGATCAAGAATTATTAGCGTCTTATCTTGCTGCTCTTGAGAGGTTGTACCAAAACGAGAATGAGAGGAATAAAATACGACATCACATTAGTGATTTCGTAAGTAATAAGGAGTCTTCTTACTTCTGGCATCCATTTCCGACAGAGGAACAATGTCAGTTGTTTCGTAGGATCTATATGGTGGTGGGGTTCCTGAATTATATTCACTAGCTGTTAAGGTGTTGTCTCAAAGTGTCAGCTCGTCATGTACTGGAGTGCGTGTAGTTATATTCACACTGTTAAGTGGAACAAGTTAAATTCTCAACGCTCCGTGTCATTGGTTTATGTTCACTACAATGATAGGTTGTTAAGTAAACTGCAATCAAATTACGTAGAGAAATACGAAGGATGGGATTTTCATCGTGACGATGACCACCTTGAGGATGATGTTAGGGCATTAGAAGCATGAGGCGACCACCTTGATGCTGATGATGGGGCTCGTCAGAGTGCTCCATTACCAAGGCCTGTCCCTCCCACTACATCTTCAGGCCATGACAAAGTTTGGCATGCACCTTTCTCTCAGAGTGCCCAACATCTCAGAATCCCACCACTCAAGGGTCATTTTCTTCGAATGCAGTCTCCTCTGCTTTCATTGTTTCTCAAAGATTGGCTCTTCGAATGGGCAAGAGGACAAAATGAACTATTCTCTCTCTCTATCTCTCTCAGATGTAAAAGAAGCTTTTTAAAGCTTGAAATGAAAGCATATATTCTCATCTCATGACTAAGAGGATTCATCATTGTGATTTAAGAATCCAAAACAATAGGATATCATAAATATAAGATTTTAAATGAAATATATATTCTCACAACTTAGGGGAATGGCTTACACAATAGGACTTAATCAGTGTTTCAAAAAGCGCTAGGTGGGTTCTGGGCGGCCCAGTTGAGTCCAAATAAGGATTCTGCAGTTATTTGAGTATCAGACTATCTATTATATTCAAATTATACTACATATTAGCATTTAGCACACATTCCATAAGTATAACCATAATCCATAAGTCGGTTCATACTCCATTATCCATATCCAATTAAAACTTAAAATATGCCAACCAACCAAATTATAAAACTATGAAAGTAATACTTGAAGACTCAAAAAGAATCTTCAATAGTTCAAATGTTAAATACACAATACTTCAATCAAAGTTTTTTTTTGATAATGTTAACGTTTGTATTGTAGAAAAAGGGAAGTACAAAGTTTTGTAGCTCAGGGTGAACCCACTAGACGGGACTCTTGGTTAAAAAGGAGAAACACCCCTGTACAGTAAAAGACTTTTCCCCCCAATAAAAGATATACAAAAAGAAGAGACAGGGAAGGGCTTATAAAAATTCCCCCCTTCTGTCGTACATTGAGTATGAGGACAAAAAGGCCCACAAAATTACAAGGGGTTCACTGGTCCAAAGCAAAAAAGAAAGTGGAGCCAGTGTGAGCTGCCTCGCCCTGTCTTCTAGCACCCTCCTTTGCCAGCCGGTCCGCGAAGTTGTTGGACATCTGCCAGGTATGCTGCCATGAGGCGTCCATAGCCCTGCAAATTTGTTGAACTTCTTCAAACACTTGTAACAAGCACCAAGGGGGATCACAGATCCTACTGGCCCAAGAGATGACCTTCTTGGAATCACCCTCCACAATCAAGCTTGATCCCCAGAATGAGTTGAATTTTTTGAGGGCAATGAGGAGGGCTGAGGCTTCCACAAAGTTAGAGTCTCTGAAGCTGAGGTATTCGGAGAAGGTGAGGAGGATATTGCCTTAAAAGTCTTGGAAAACACTCCCGGCCCCTGCTGGGCCCGGGTTCCCCAAGGAGCACCCATCAAAATTAAGTTTGATGCTACCTTGGCTCGGTGGTAACCAAAGACTTGGCCTAGCTGCTCGTGGTGGTTGGTGAAGAAGGATATTTCCCCCATGGGAAAGGAAGAAGGAACCAGGAATACCAGCAAAGAACTTCAAGTTGGATGCCCAAAAGGTCACCAGGGTGGTAACTTTTTGAAAGATGGTCAAAATTGAAAGCTTTGTCCCTTGAAAAATTCTGGACTTTCTTTCCAGCCAAAGCAGCCAAATGGTAGCAGCTAAGGTTGCTTTCCACAGTATTCTACGAGCCTTAGGCCAGCCTGATTCAAGGTTGGAGGACAGGAGGGCTGTTACCGAGGGTGGGGTAAATCATTGTATGCCAAATAGTTGTAAAACCTTGCCCCATAGGCCGGAAGAGAATGCACAAAGCAAGAACAAATGGGGATTTGTTTTCTCCTTGCATTCACACAAGACACACCTATTCGAAATGGGCACTCCTATGCTTTGAAGTTGGCCAACTATGAGGGCTTTTCTAGAGAAACTGAGCCAATTGAAGGCCTGAACTTTGGTGGTGCAATAGTGGACCAAATTCTAGAAAAGTTTTCGGATGGGGGGGGGGGGGGGAAAGGAGGTGAGGTAGAATGAAGCCACTGAGAAATTACCCGAGGGGGTTAAGGTCCAAATGATATCATCATTTCCTTGTGAAGAGAAAAAGAGA